TGGGGTTCAAGGAGACAGAAGCAGACGTAGAAAAAGAAGCATAGATACAAAAGGCAACTGTAAAAACGTCCCTGTCCGGGAAACACAGCCAGGCAGACTTTTCTGCTTTTCTGATCATGATTGCAAAGAAATCTTAGTTTCTTAATCTGGTTTGCATAAAACATAGTTTTTGGGATCATCCTCCCCTAAATCAGTGGCAATAGACTAACTGTAAATTAGACACAGATGTACACAGTTAGATGTAGGGATTGGAATTAAGGAAAATCTTCATAAGAGCTTCAGGATTTTTCTTTGTCGAAAGTTTTAAGAAGTCATGACATGAGAGAAAGCAAGGAGCCTTAGAGGAAGCTTTTTTTATGTTTGTAATGATGCAGAATGTTTGATCATCGCCTCGATTTTACTGAAAGTGATGATCAAATTTGATGTTGCAACAGAAAGGTCATTAGTGGGAGTGTTTCCTTGGAGCTGTGGATTGGGAGGAGGCTCTATAGTGGCAGGACGGGTTTGGGTTTAGGGTGTGGCTGCTTGGTTCAGTTTCGGGCCTCGTGTTTCACACGTCCCGTAATGAGTGGTTGGGCGAGTGCATTTGCAGAACAATGTGTGATTTAGAAAGAATTCGTTCAGCTGAACCTTTGCACAGGTCATCTTTCCAAAATAAATGAAAAAATAAAGATGAGATGCTCTATTTTTCACATTATGCATTTCTACGTTTGGCAGAGTTGCCGATCTGAACATTGCAACTGCGGTTGAGTACCTGAGAAGCGGTGACCCCTCGCTGGAGACCATGGGTGCAGCTTTCGTTCAGCATATGTGCTACAATGAAAAAGAAGCAAAAGATCAGGTATTTGGCACAGATCTCACCGCCTCCTGCTGTGAAACTCACCAATGAAAATCATTTCTTCTTACAGGACTGTCAATCTTTGATTTATAGTTTCTTCATTCATGGTCATTATAAAGGAATCCTACATCTTAATTTATTGTTTCCCTCTTATTCATTGTGGTCACCATGTGGAAGCCCTGGAGCCCAGTCAGCTGTCCTCAGCCAGCAGGAGTCTGCCTCTGGAATATCAGCCTATATTAACTCATACTATATAGCAAATGCTAGGCAAGTTGGTTAAACTGGTTGGAAAGGGAAGCTGAAGAAACGTAGAACTAGAGGTGTCAAAAGTATTAATGTTTATGGCAGCAGCAGAAGTATAAATCCTGCTGTTTAAAAACACTTTTGTTGAAGTTAGAGGATCA